CTGGTCCAGGCGGCGAGCGGATCCCCGGCGGAGCGTGCGGACGGGCCGGCGCGTTGTGGGTGGCGCGGTTGCAGCCGCCATTGGGGAGCGAAGGCGGCGGAGCTGGCGCTGCCACGGCCGCGGTGCGCTTCTGTCCAGGAGAGACCCGAGAGGCAGGCGTCAAAAGGGCCAGATCAGCAACGGGCGCGGAGAAACGCAAGGGAGATACTGCGAAAGTACAACGTTCAGAAGCGGCTTTGGGGCGCGTCGCGCTGTCGGATCGTCCGGGACGCGCGTGCTTTGAGCTACGCGCCTCACCTTTTTCGTAAACCTGACACCACCACGCAATGGGTCCGTCTGAAGCAGAAGAGCTAGCGCCTCCGTCAAGTAACCGCTGCATAAACCAGGAAAACAGGATTTGAACATATGCCAAGGATGGCCATGTCTTTCTTGAACGGGGATCGTTGACCAGCATTGGCATTTGGGACCAGGGCAGTAGTCCTGAGTAGGACCACAGTACAGGGAAAAAACAGCCACGTGGCAAGCAGCGTGTCTGTGATGTCTTCGTAGCACTGGCTAAAGCTTTGCCATCTAAAAATCTAATTTGGAATAAGCCACAAATCGCCTGCACCCAAATCCAGAAACATCCCAAATCACTTTCAGTTTTGATTACACTTTTCCCTCTAAACCAGTGTTTCTCAACCTTGGCTACTTTAAGACCTGTGGACTTCAACTCCCAGAAATCCCCAGCCAGCATGGCTGGCTGGGGAATTCTGGGAGTTGAAGTCCACAGGTCTTAAAGCCGCCAAGGTTGAGAAACACTGCTGTAAACCATCCTGCTGCCTACAGAACTACAAAAACAGATTTCCATCCTTCCATTCCATTGGAGCAACTGCATGGGGAGGAGGGGGAGGAATTTAACACAAACCCCGAAATAAATATTTGCATATTAGTTTATTGCCATTATTTACCTCCATCCCGCCCCATAACAATCCTTCCAGTGTGCCTTGCAAGCAACAGAAACGATGGCAAATCAATGTACAAGAGTCCTTTTTAAATTTTACGGAACACTTGACGGTAACCACCTCGGGGAGAAAGAAGACAACTGAAGGAAGTCTGAGCGGTGGTCTTCATCTGTCATTCCCCCCCCCCCGCCCCTCACAAGGCAATGGAAGCCAAACGTTAGCTGAAATTTCTTTTGACATATTTGAGGTCAGAAGCGACGATCTAAGGAGCAGATGATCAATTCTTAAAAGTAGAGGATATTACTGTACCCTTCACTGTGGAGGGCCTTGGCCTCCAACGTCCTTTTCACTCGGATTCTGTAAGATCCCGACATAAATCACGGTTCTGTGTTCCCTAGGACTGCCATCTCCGCAAACCTGGTCAACAATCCAGCAGATGGTTTTTATTTATTCATTTATATTTCAAATTTGCCACCGCCCATCTCATTTGTAAACCGAACTCTGGGCGGTTTACAGTAAAAAAAGAATAAATATTGATTGAAATAGATAAATATTAATTAATTAAAATGTGTTAAAAGCACACTTCCTCTATAATACTTCCAAGAGGCAGATGTTAATGGGGTGTCAATAAATTCAGGGTGCATCATCAAGGTGCCAGCCCTCCCTAGGGTCGATTGTATCTTTCCTCGCCCCAGGCAAGTTGGCAGAGCCAAGTCTTCAATTCCCTCAAAAAAACTGGGAGGATCGGGGCCCGCCTCGCCTCTGTGGGGAGAGTATTCCATAGGGCGGGGGCAACGGCATTCCATTCAATGGACGACCTCAGCTTATCTGAGGGGTCTTTGAGGCCATTGCTAGCCAGAAGAGAAAAACTGCATTCAGGGAAAAAGAAAAGAAACTTCATAGTCAGATGAATGATACATCTAATTTCCTTTTAATTACTTTCTATGATATACATTATCCTCTCAATGCAGTAATTTTGAGGAAACAAGTTGACATCAGCCTTTAGAGTAAGAAACTAAGAGAAAGATTCCACCCCACTAAAGCAAAATGACCTAAAAACACAATGAAACTGAGAAGAAAATGATTTTTTTTTTGCTCCCCTTCCTATAGTATATACTACTAGACCATACAAACATATAGTTGAGCTCAACTCTTGTTGATTTCACAGACATGTCCATTTATTTTGCTTGGCACCAATATCCACGTGATTTACTACTACTGCCTTCTGGAATGTTTTGTTTTTTTTAAAGTTCCCAGTACAGCCTGCAGCCCTGGGATTTCCTAATGGTGTCCCATCCAAGTACTAAACAGATCTCACCGCTCTTAGCCTTGAGATTGCCCAAGATTCGCTATTAGGGATGCCCAAAATGTTCTGCGCATGAATATTCCCTGCATCGTTTCAAGAGACCTGTTTCCAGACCAAGATAGGAACATTCTAGGCAGAAGTGTTTGAGAGGAAGTGTGGGGAAAAGCCAAGAATGTTGGTTGTGGTGGTGGCAACTAAGGGGAGGCAGGGAAAAGAAGGAAAAATGGGAGGCAGGGTGAATAGCTGCCACTGTCAATGCCCTTAGTTTTGGTAAGACTCACCTCCCATCTTCCCAGCACCTTCCATTCCCTATCAGCGATGATTGGGCGGGGGGGGGGAGCAGAATGGGACACATGCTAGGTGTGGGAAGACAGATGAGCAGGGCCTCAGTGTTGCCCTACTCGCCCCATAAAACACCTCTGGATTTTGTGCCAGTTAAAACCTGAACCACCCCAGTTCCAGCTGTCAGTTTTTTCCCAACTTGCAGACCACCCAGAATGGTTCAGCCACATTTCCAAAACACACCATGTTTGTTTCAGTTCAAAACAAAGCAGGCTTCCCATTTTATGCACACCCACGTTGTTAGGCCATACAAATGCAGCCATCACATGGACTCCCTATCCTCTATTAATTGCTTCATTGACTCGCTACAGCGAATAGCTTAAAGGTCCTATACCCCTGAGACTATCAACTTCACAGACATTCAACAATCCCTCATTACCAGGCCAAGAATCCACCCGACGTAAGGTCCCAGACACATCCATCAGGAGTGGTCAGGAAGGTCCCAGCCAGGTGACGGCTGCTTCTCCTACACAAGTGCTGAGAGAGACATCAAGGAACGGAGACCCACCAAGTGCTTCTCAAGGGCCTACATGGGCACACGTGGCAGATTCACAAGGTCAACCTTCCTGAACCTGGTATTTTCAGATATTAAAAACAATTCCTGCCACCTCCACCCGGAATGGCCACTGGTCCAACGCATCTGGAGGCCATCGGGCTAGGGAAGGCTCAGGTAAAAGGTTGCCTGTGGTCCCACTCACAAAACTGGAGCATCCCACTGCCCATTTTTCCTTTATGAAGCTTCTTTATCTTGCTCCTCCTCCTCCTCCAACCTGCGACTATTCAGGGCTTCCCGGGCATGGATTTTCTGATGCTTCACCAGAACCGCACGGTAGGGGAACCTTTTCCCGCAGATGACGCAGAGGTGTGGCCTCTCCCCCGTGTGGACTTTCCGATGCCGGATGTGGCTGGCCTGGTTAGAAAAGCATTTCCCGCAGATGGCACATTTGAAGGGCTTCTCGCCCGTGTGGATCCTCTTGTGCACCATCAGAATCTGCCACTGCCTGAAGCTCTTCCCGCACTCGGAGCAAGTGAAGGGCCTCTCCCCCGTGTGGACCCGGTGGTGCCTGTCCAACTGGGAGGACGTGTTGAAGGACTTATCACAATCAGGGCATTTGAATGGCTTCATCTCCCCTGAGCAGGAGCCCTCCTGTCTCTTGACACTCAAGCCGCAACCAAAGCTTTCCTGGGGCTGGGTCCATCGGAAGGGCTTCTCCCTGATGTGGACTTTCTGGTGGCCGAGCAGCTGAGACTTTTGGGTGAAGCTCTTCCCGCACTCCAAGCAGCCAAACTGCTCTTTTTTGGTATGGACTCGGTAGTGCCTGGTAAGGACCCAGCTGACAGTGAAGCTCTTCCCGCACCGATCGCACGAATAGGGCCTCTCCCCTGTGTGGGTCCTCTCGTGCACCACCAAGGCAGATTTGAAGCTGAAGCACTTCCCGCAGTTCTGGCACTTGAACGGCTTCTCGCCCGTGTGGGTCCTCTGATGCGCGGCAAGCACCGTGCTCCGGCTGAAGGTCTTGCTGCATACGGAGCACGTCTTCTTCCCCCGGATCCTATACCGTTTCTTGACCACTGGTGGACTTAGATTTCTCTCCTCTCCTGCCAGAGGAAAGATTTCAACCATGGGCTGATCTTGGCCATCTTCTCCCTTCTGCTTCAAGCCAGCATCGGGGCTCCCCAAAGTGTCACTGTCCTCCTGGGGTTTGGGGAGACTGTCCCAGGGGGTCCCCTGGAGCTTCACGGGCTCAGTGTCATCCCCCTGGGAATCCCCCTCTTTCATCTCAGTGATCCACTCATCAGCGGCTGGAACAGAGTGGAAAAAGAAGTTACTCAAGGAGCTGAAGACCTGATGGTCAGATCAACAACAATCTGCTTCCCTCACTGGCTAAGTCTGCCTCCTCCTGGCTCCCAACAGGATCAGTGTTTAGCCTCTGATCTTGGGAAATGCGGTTATCTATCGATTCGTTCTTACACTGTTCGTCACATTTCTAGACCAGTCAACAGCCACTGTTCCCCAGGCAGTGTATAAGTCAGATTTATCTATATGTGTAGGCCAGATCAGGAAACAGACTCCACAAGAAATGCTGGAATTCATCTTTACTGATCTAGGCTACAATAACAGAACTTCGAAATCCCCACAGTGTTTCCCCTCCCTCTTATACTAAAGAGAGTCAAGACAAGGCACTTTAAGTTTCTTTCTAATATCCCTTTCTTTTCTTGGGCTTAAATCACGTTTTGGTAACTGCTACATTCCTTTTCCAAGGCCATCTGTGTGATTCTCTACCATACAGGCAGGTCTCGATTAGTGCTGATAACGAATCCCACAAAATAGTTGCATTATTTGAATCCGCACTATTTGAAGTGATATTGCGACGGAAAAGAGGGTAATTGGGTAATTCCGGCTTGACAGAAATAGGCAATGAACATTTTTAAACATAATTTTCATATGTTTATTAATGAAATGTAACAGTAAAAGATTAAAAGAATATACTCACAACTTAAATTTATTTTTAACAAAGTCACAGAGTAGTTATAGAAAGCAAAATAAAAACAAAAAAAAAATTCTAAATATCATTCCTAAAGGTAAGCTTACACTGACAAAAACGTCTTTACTGCCTTTATTGTCTTTCAAAATATTTTAGCAGCATCGACTCTTTTATCTTTCTTTAAATCTTCATACATATGCTGGTAGATGCAGACTGCTTTAGCCACATCTCAGCGAATCTGCATGCTTTGATTGAGGTTAGGGTCAGCATCCATAATTTTTTGCTTCAGGACTTCTAAACTCAAAAGATACCTTCAAATTCCTTGAGAGGGAACTCCTTCACTTGCATATGATCTCGTTCTTCGGCATCACTGTCGGTTTCTTCATGTGCTCTTTGTTGAGCTAAAAGTAGATCGTCATCAGTCAATTCTTCCACGTGTGAACTGAGCAGTTCCTGAACATCATCACTTTCTAGTTCATCAAATCCAAGTTCTCTTCCAATCTTTGTTATTTCTTCTATAACTGTGTTTTCTTCAAAACCACTACGGTTTGCACAATGAGGCAAAATGTGCTTCCACCCTCCACGCATGTGGTCTGCAGTTAGTTGTTGCCAAGCCCAGTGAATATTTTCTATTGCGTGCCTGATGTTATAATTTCTCCAGAACTCTGTTAAGGAAATTGCATCATCTCCCGTGGTTTTAGCAATTGCCTGTTCAAATGTTCTTCTTATGTAGTAGGCCTTAAATGTTGCGATGGCCCCTTGATCCATGGGTTGCAACAAAGATGTTGTGTTTGATGGCAAAAAAATGGTTTTTACATTTTCACACAATGAACTCAGTGTAGTTGGATGTCCTGGAGCCTCATCTAAGATCAGAAGAACTTTAAATGCAATGTTGTTTTCCTTGCAGTACTTTTCAACAGCTGGGCAAAAATAGCTTGAAAACCAGTCACTGAATAATGCTTGGGTCATCCACGCTTTCTTATTTGACTGCCAAATAACTGGAAGCGATCTATGGTTGTAGCCTTTCAGGGCGCGAGGATTTGGAGATCGATAAACAAGCATCGGTGTCAATTTAAAATCTCCTTGAGCGTTGCCTCCCAGTAAAAGTGTGAGGTGATCTTTAGACCCTTTAAATCCAGGCTGAGTTTTTTCTTTCTTAGAAATGTAAGTTCTGGAAGGCATCCTTTTCCAGAATAAACCGGTTTCGTCCACATTAAATATTTGTTGATCAGTGTATCTACCATCTTCAATGATTTTTTTTAAAACCTCAAGGTATTTAGATACTGCATCTTCATTTGCACTGGCTGCCTCACCGGCCATTTTAACGTTACGCAGCTGAACTCGATTTTTAAACCGATCAAACCAGCCAACGCTTGCGTTAAATATTTCTTCTACTTCGTTGTTTTTTTCTTTCACTCTCTGAAACAAACTTAAAGCTTTGGTTTGAATGGCTGCTCTGCTAAGGGGAATGCATTTTTGATTGCAATCCTCAATCCATTCAGTTAAAAGGTGCTCTGTTTCTATCATTGTAACACTTCTGTTCCTTGCAGATGTTTGCAAACCACAAAAAGCAGATGCAACTTTACCTTTCTTTTTAATATCCCCTGCGTGTTTTATAATATTGCGTACCGTAGATTCGGGCATTCCAACATCTCGTCCTATTTTAGCGTTGCTGTGGCCACGTTCGTGTCGTTCAATTACATCACATTTTTGCTCTAATGTAATAACAAGCCTCTTCTTTTTTGACCTTGTATTATTTGTCTCTGACGGAATCTTCCTTTTCTCCATTTTGCGCACACGAAGATTAGCAGTGTCTAAAACATAGAAGAATATGAAGGTGATATATTAAAACTCGGGCAGCTCTATTTCTACAGGAATAGCGTAATACCAAATAGGTAACCACTTTACAATACAGGTAGTGCTCACTTAACGACCACAATAGGGACCAGAACATTAGTTGTTAAACGAGTCGCACCCGATTTTATCATCTTTTTTGCAGCGGTTATTAAGCAAATCACCATGGCTGTTAAGCGAATCACACGGTTCTCCACTGATTTTGCTTGCCGGAAGCCATCTGGGAAGGTCACAAATGGTGATCATGTGACCCTGGGATGCTGCAACCATCATAAGTGCGAGCTTGTTGCCAAACACCTGGATTGCAATCACGTGACTGCGGGGGGGGGGCGCTGTGATGGTTGTAAGTGTGAGGACTGGTTGTAAGTCCCTTTGTTCAGCACCATTGTAACTTTGAACGGTTGGTTCAACAAATGGTTAAGTGAGGACTACCTGTAAAAGTAATAGATATACTAGACTTTATAAAACCTACTAACAATATATAACTAATTAACTCAAGTAAAATTCAACAATATATAGCATAAAAGCCAGAGAGACCTGTCACTAATGCCAATCCAGAAGCCACAGAATCACAATTTGGTCCACTGGCTTTACTCAGGCAAGACAGCATTCCAGGACGGGAATGGCCTGGCCCCATAATCCTTGTTCTGGCCATATCCTGTCTGAATTTCTACAGTGTGTCCTACACAGATCTGCCCTTGAAGACTGCTCAGAAACTGCAGGAAGTGGTAGCAAGATTGTTACCAAGACCACCCTTCCGTTATTTTTTTACGTGGTTTTTGTGTTTTTTATTGCTTTCTAATCGATTCTAATCTGCCACGAAATCTTCCAGAGGGATCCCATAAATATTGAAAATAAATCAATCAAGTGAACAAAGGACAAGCTGGAGGATAAACCCGTATCCAAAGCGTACCTGCTCTCTCCTGTATTCTGCTGTAGTTCTTCAAAATGAGCCTCTTCTTTTTTGAGCTTTTCTCGAATGGAACCTTTCCTTTTCTCCAGTTTGCACCACGGCGATTAGCATCTAAAACCCCAACAGCAACTGTGCATATGCTAGCCTTGCGTTAACTGAAATTTAGCTCGCATTAAACGCAACCTGGTATCAATTTATAATTTGCACTAAATCGAATATCGTACTACTCAGACTTGCATTAATCACAACCTACCTGTACATACACACACCCCCACGCACCCAAAACAGTGTAAAACAAAAGCAGCATAAAAGAAAAACCAAGCCACAGCATCTCACCTCAACTTCAAAAATCACCAGGAAACTAACAGCAAAATCATCTTCCACACTTAAAAGGCTTGAGAAAGTAAAGTGGAGACCACCGCATGGATACCTGGCAAGCCTCTCTGAGGACACGTTTCACGTATGGGGCACCATGATGGAAAAGGCTTTCCTCATGTGTGTAGCCATCACAACTAATAACTGTTAACAGACTTCTCCATGGATTTAGTCATTGTCTTTTTAACAAAATATTCAGGCCAGAGGCCAGACATCAGATGAATAAATTCTCCACATTATGGAGATACAGTGGAACCTCGGTTTACGAACTTAATCTGTTCCGTGACTCTGGTCGCACCCCGAATTGGTCGCAACCCGAAGCAAATTTCCCCATAAAGTTCAATGTAATTACCGTTAAT